TAAACAGCTTCAGAAATAAATAATTTTATTCATTAAACGGCTTCAGAAATAACTAAAATAATTTTATGTTAGTCTTCGTTTATTATATTGCGAAAGTAAGATTATGTTTTACTGAGGCACAAAATATGCATTACAACTTAACACTGAGATGGTAACGTCTGCAAGATTCGTTTACTGCTTAATTGTGCATAAATTTTATATATTTACTAACTATTTTATATATTTAAAAAACTTCTTTGGATTTTAGTCATTTATAACCAAAATAAGACAAATGATAATTTTTACAAATTTTCCAAAAGTGATACAGGAATCAAGAAAAATCCGCTGCACGCCACTGCGATGTAAGTTAATCAGTGGCACAAACTTATTCTAATAATTCACAGAATCAAATATGAAGCGACGAAAGGCTTTGACTTGAAAGAAAGTACGCAGAAAATATGCGCATTGTCAACCTAAAACTCCCACACATTTAAATGATATTGATTGCGTTTAAAATTCTTCAAGATACCATTACGTTTACGATAAACTTAATTTCAACCCAAAAGCCTAGAGCACAATTTCTTACTTAATAAAAATGTAAATTGTACGTATTCAGTTTCGCAATAACGCTATTCTTTTCGTAATCAGAAAACGTAAATAATATCGAGGCTTTATGTGTAAACATATTTATTTTTACACTTATCTGAAGACGCCAATTTAAAAATTAATTGCATTTCCCCCCCCTTTTTCTCGTTATCAAAACGCATCCCAAACACGGGAATAGCAATTTCACTTCCGGGGCTCCGAATCATTCGTACTGTCATTTTCAATCACTTATCGCTTAGTTTGGCGACTTTAAATTTTTCTCAATCCAGCCAAGTCAACGTGGCCTCGAAGGTCGACAACCAAGTTAGCCTTGGTTGCTTCAGCAGTTTTCCCCGCAGCATTTCTCACCTAGAACTCAGGGCTTCACTTTTTCTCTTTGCTTGTTCACGTTATAGGGACATTAAACTCGAACTATTATAATGTTTATTTAAACTTTTTTTTTTGTCTTCAGTTTTGTTGCGTGCGTAATTTTAATTGCGCGAAGCATTCGCAAACAGTAATAAATATCAGCCTTTTTCGAGAGAGGGCGTTTCAATTTTTGAGAAACATGCCACTTTCTCAAATAAACATATTTCACAGTCTGTCAAAGGAGTAAGTTATTGGGTTTACTTCCTCAGAATGTGCGGAGCTTTTCTTTTTGGAGCCCTTCCGTGGAACTAACCTTCGACCAAAATTCTCGGTCAACCTTGACAAACAGTAAATAATAGATTTACTTTAATGCCGCCGTTTGTTTTAGGGGATGTACAGAACTGAAAGCTCTGGCAACACACGCACATGCGGGATTGGCTATTTTTTCATACATTTGCATAAAACAACGAGAAACCGTAGATACCGGCATTTGTTTTAGGGGTATGTACAGGATATTTTGTTATGACAGCAAAAACAACGGAAAGGTCAGCGATTTGCGTTTTTGGAAAAAACAATAAAGAAGGCCTTGACTGCGCTGGGCACACATCACAGCAAAATCTGCTGTTGAACTGTCCAGTCGACCTATTCCTTTCGAAAATACCAATATTGTCAAGCAGGAGATCTTGAAGAAGTGGCAGCGACTTTCAACTTCATAACAAGAATAAAACCTATAGTAGAAATATTGGGAGACTACTAGGAATCGGGAGGGATTAAGTCCTTTTAACTGGCCTTGTTAGAATTGGCTATTGTCGACTAGCTAAAAATTATCCTCTGAAAGCTGAAATCAAGCCTATCTGCTCAAATTGTAATGTTATTCTATCAGTGCGACACATTTTAGTTGAATGTTCTTATTTTAACGAATTTCGTATGAAATGTTTTAATAGTTCTCGTGTAAGTCTTGACAGTTTAACTGGACAAGACTTACACGAGAAACTATTAAAACATTTCATACGAAATCCGTTAGAAATCAAAGAAACTGGTTTTTATTATCTAGTCTGAAATAGTTTTAAAGTATTTTAAATCGTATTTGTTCACTGAATATCATCTCTTTGTATAGTTGCTTTTTCATCTTGTCAATTTCATGCATTTCCTCATATCATGCACCATTTTTTATTAGTGTAGCATCGTAGTTGAATTTGTCATTTTGTGCTACTTTTGTTGGTTGCTGTATTGTTAAGCAAGTACTGTACTGTCTTTGTAATTTTACTTTATTATTAAGCAAGATCATAAGTTCATCGTGAGTTTCGGGCATCCTAACTTTTAAGGTTATGCGGCCAAAAAATTTACCATCCTATCCCATCCCAAGCAGGCTTTGATGCCGACATTTATTTTAGGGGCATATATAAAGGTTTTTCTGAGCTATGGCAAAGAAAGGAAATGAAGTGTCGGTGATTTGCATAAGTTTGAGAGAATTGTAGTAACGGTCGATGCCACAGACCGTTACTACAGGTGCAATCAATCGGTGCCGCCGCACCGAACGGTAGAATTTAGAGATGGTAAAATGTGTACAATTCAAGGAAGGCAATAAGCAACAGAATATTGTTACCGCTGAAATTGCACCTTGCGGCAGAAAGCCTAGCGCCTCCCCCCCCTGCTTGTGATTAATCTAAGAGGTTAATAAAAGTATCATCCAGGCTTAAGATTAAGCGTTAAGTAATAAAGAGACGTACAAAATAATTCATATCAATTTGAAATTGTCAATATTATCACGAGTCTCATTGTATAACCAAAGGCTGTGGCTGTAAAAAAAAGTTCTAAACGCGCATTCCCCGACCCGGGCTGTGTTTGTGAGTTTTGAAATTAAATAGTTTTCTAAAAATGCATACATTTGTAGCTTATCATAATTAGTGGAGGTTTCGATACTGTTTACAAGAGCTGAAACATTATTTCACAGCTTCTCTGCAAACAGTTCGTGCAGTTAGAGACGCGAGCAACGGAATTACAAGCCTCAGTGTTTAATGGTGCTATATTGCTGAGAATGAAGATGTTTCGTAAAGAATATATTTCATATTGTTCATTATAGCTTTTAAAACTGACTATTATTTAGCTGTAGAGCTTAAATTCAATAAACTTGCTTTTAAGTGTAGATTTAAGTCTTATTTGTTGATACAACATTAGCGTTCTAGACAGACAATTTTTTTCATTTTTTGATATATTTGCTCAGAATATTTCTTGTGTTTTTAAAGAATGCATTAGAAATTCAATTTGTTTCAAGAATTTCATGTGATTTTATAAATTTCGCAAAATCAAATTAGCTAATCCAAATATTATCGGCTTTGAAATTCCTTGTACTTGACTTTTCAAGACGGACCCACAAAATGAAAATAGTTCTTATGTGCTTTACCACGATCACCTATTTACTCAACTGATACAAATTTGTGAATTTAATTCAAATGATGCTTTTAACCAGCTAGGGCTTCAAGTCAGCGTTTTATGGAATCCCAAAAATGGAGCTCAGCTTTTTGTCAGAATTCTTTAGGCGGGAACGGCCTTCATAGTTTTCTCTATCCTATTACCTATGTATCTTCTATTACCAGATTGGGTACAAAGCTGGATTAGAATATTCGGGGAAGGGGAGGAAGAATCGGTCATTGGTGGGTGAGAACGTTTCATGATCTAGGATTAAATAATCCGATTCAACATTTGGCAAAAGTATACACTAAATTTATCTTAAATAGCTACCAGTATTTTTAATATTCACTAAGATGCCAATTTTAACTCTTACTCTTCAGAATCAATACCGGCACGGCAAAACCAGTTTTACATCAGTAGCAGTTTTTCCTTAAAAGTGTTGAATCACTGCTGACACGGCGAAGTTCCTTAAATAAAGAAAAGAAGATTGAAAAGAAAGAATTTTTAGTAAAAAATTGCAGTGAAGTTTATTTGTTTATACCAATACTTTTTTTTTTTTTTCATTTTTCATGCTCATTATTGAAACACAACTGATGTCGAAAAGTTGACATGACAAAGATATGATTAGTTTAGAAGCAATAGATGTGCAAACCTGCGTACGAACCCAGTTAAGAAATTAAAATGTTGTGGATGAACTATTTTTGCACTGTGCATGGCTTATTTACTGTTATTCGCAAGCATAGGTTTGGTTTATTAGACTACGGCAAAGCACTCGAGGGCTATCTGCCTTAAGAGAGGGATGCCTTCGTGGAGAACTTTTTAAGGGTGTAGTGGTGTATTTAATTATGGCAAAGCACACTAGGGCTATCTGCTTAAGGGGAGGGATGCCTTCGTGGAGGACTTTCTAAGGGAAACTGGCTCGTATACACGTTACACATGGGGAAAACCACGAAAACGCCCATGCAGCTAGCCCGTTCGCGGGATTCGAACCTCAGACCGAACTACCAGTGTTCAGCGACTTTTACCGCTCAGCCGCTGGTGGGCTTAGCAAGCATAGGAATTTTACCTAAAGGAGGAAAAGAGAGGAAACAATAAAAAAACATTGGTTCCATTGAGAACTCCTGTGAAAGTGATGTTGGATTATAACAGGACATACGAGAGTTATTTGCCAAGAGAAGAATTTTCCTGGGGGGGGGTTTTTAAGGAAAAACTGGCTATGTATGTTACATGAAAAAAAGGTGGGGGAAATTAAAAACTGTTAAGCAGCCAGCTCGTTCACTTTAACTTGAACTTCGGTCGAACTACTAGTGTTTAGTCATTTTGCAGCTTGCCTGCTGATGAGTTCGAAAGTGATGTTAATTTCTGTGTGTGTTTGATTATGGAGGAATACAAAATGGTTACTTGCTTTGATGCTTCGTTGTCTATTCTAATGTTCAGCGGGAATTCATCCCGCCCTTACCAGATCCTCGTAGTATCCCATGGAGGGAGTCACACTTGAAAGGTCTATTACATCTGAATCATCTTTGGGAACGAGAACTAAAAGAAAAATAATCATAAGGAGGCACTATTTGTTTCCTTACTGTCTTCTTGGATGTCAGTAGATAGAATATGGGGGTTCTACGCCACAGGGATCAGGGATCCGTGGGATCCCAGAGGGCGTGCCTCCTGAGGCGCAGAGGGGGCAGAGAATTTACGAAGTAGCACGGAAGGGTTGCTACGTCATCAACCACGTGGCTCAAGCACGGGTGCGTTGCATCCTGTTCGTGACGTCATCCCGCATTATCACTTCGTATTATCTTGCTATTGTTATGTCAGACACATGTTTCATCCTTTTTGTGTAGTAATCCGGTTTCATGTACACGTTTATCGATTGACATAGAACTTCCCGCTGCTTTGATGTCATACTAAATCCGCGGTCTGATTGCAACTTGTTAGAATTTCTAGCGCATTCTTTTTAGTTCAGCAACGACCGCTAGAGGGCAGTAGTCGTATCCATAGCGCTTTCTGATTGGTTCTCCTGGATCCTGACCAAGGCTTATATAGAGAGACGCTGGACCCTATCATATCATTTCCGCCTGTGTTGCATGTTTCGTTCCTGCTTTCGCTCTTCCTGTTTGAATCAAGACGTGTTATTCGAGGTACGTATTATTTTTAATCATATATCTTTTTCGTGTTCGTATATTTGATGTTACTATTTAATTTGAGTACGAAAATCTGCATTTGTTGCACTGCCTTTATAGTTTGACTTTATATTTTTTAGATGGATTTGGAACAACAGTTTGAGAACGAGCCTCTCAACATGGATGTGCCGAAGATTTCAGATTCTGAACAATACCATGAAAAGCCCAAAGAAACACCCATCTCGCAGAACGCTAATGGCAAACGAAAAATAGACGAAGAAAATACATATAAGAAGAAAGTAAGTATTACGAAAGAGTTTATTCTTGCTATAACGCAGACTTATTATTCTTTTATCAAACGACTCATCATTATTTTTTCTCTTTTAGCGCAACGGACGCTTTACTGAAGGCACAATCCCAGAGGAGCTGACACATATTGGCAACAATGTCTTTGTGGGACCTACCTCTTTTCAACGGAAAGATCAAGTGCACACATCAGGCAATACAGCAAGTACGGGAGTTCATATTATCCGACTCGTAACGGTGTGAATTTAGAGCCTTCGTGTTTGGACACCTTCTCTCAACACAGCCCACAAGAGGTGTTCACAATGAATCTGCAACCTACCCAAGAATTTTAGTGCGGAATATGATGGTTACCACATCACGTTAAAGCAATTTAACAGTAAAAGGAGTGGAGAAAAGCAATATTAGACTTACAATCGCCCAGTGGGAAGAATTGTCCACAAATTACAGTCGTATCAGTACCATCGTCACTAACCTCGTATATCAATGTATGGACTTTTGTGAAGCCTACGAAAGTGTGTATCCGAGGAACCTATTAACGAGGAAAAGCTTCCAGAATCCTTCGACATTTCTTTGGGAACAGCATGCCTTCAAACCTATTCTAAAGACGTCACTAGAACAGCTGATCCAAGAACACGGAGAGATTTGAAGTATCCTAAACTTATAGACTGTGAAGAGCTCGCTATTTATAAAACAGAAACTATCAACTCCATGGCTCTGAAATTAAACTCTATCGACATAGCCAGGCAATTTTATGGAAATGTATGGACTGAAGAGCCTTATTTTACTTCTGATTAAACCAGCACATTATATCACAAAAGACTTTTTAAAATCTGTTTGTCTCAAACATGTACTTGATGAAGTGAAAGAAACATTTTGTCCTACCAATCTGGAAAAATATGGTGCTTATGGTATTGAATATTATGAATGTTTAAAAAGTAAATAAAATTATTGGTTTATAATGGTCTCTTTACTGTCTCATAATTAAGTTTAAAAATAAATATATAAGGGAACACTATAAATACTCATACACATTTGCTTTCCGTTCATAAGAAGGATTGATATAGAAATAAGAGGTTGTATGTTTTAGAGTAAACTATAAATGAGCGTTCACATTTCTATTAGTAAAAATCACTGCTGTACATACCATGAATCTGACTCAGATGTATCGCGATCCAGCCCTTCCGCCAGTTTTGGTGGAGTGAGTGAGTGCTTTGCATCGTGCTTTAAAAGGCAAAGAAAGTCACAAAACGATCAAGAATTGGCTTACCAGCAAAGAGTCATATACTTTGCACACAAGCCTACCCAGCGACATTTTCGTCGCAATCGCGTCCTCGTCAGAGGCATCGACGCTCAGTTTCAATCTGATTTGGCAGATATGCAGTCTCTTGCCAAACACAACGATGGATATAAATATTTGCTAACGTGTATTGATGTGTTTTCCAAATATGCTTGGGCTATTCCACTCAAAGATAAAACAGGTCAGAGTGTCAAATCAGCTCTTGAACATATTTTTAGCGAGAGAAAACCACATGTGTTACAGACTGACAAAGGTAAAGAGTATAAGAATAAAATCGTTCAAACTTATCTTAAAAAAGAAAAAGTTCGTTTTTTCACAACTGAGAACAGTACAGTAAAGGCAAGGCAAGCATCATCGAACGATTCCACAGAACCCTCAAAAGCAAAATGTGGAAGTACTTCAGTGAAATGAATACATATCGTTATATTGACGTAATAGATAAATTAATTCACAGTTATAATCATACCTGGCATCGCTCTATTCAAACTGAACCAGCGAATGTCAATAAACACAATGAGAAACAAGTGTGGAATCAATTATATAAAGACCTACCTAAACCTCAACCTAAGTTCAAAGTGGGAGATACAGTGCGCGTTAGCAAATTAAAAATGATTTTTGAAAAAGGCTATGAAAGTAACTGGACGAGAGAAATCTTTACGATCCATGAAATCCTTCCTAGAAATCCACCTGTTTATCGACTTAAAGACCTTGCCTGGAGAAGTCATTGAAGGAACCTTTTACGAAAAGGAACTGCAAAAAATTTCAGATTCGGGATATTATCCTGTTGAAAAAGTGTTGCGAGAAAGAAGAGAGAAATGGTGTGACGGAATACTATGTGAAATTCGTAGGTTATCCACCAAAATTTAATGCATGGGTGACCGATGTGAAAAGAATATAAAAAACTCCACATCGTATAAAGAATCGTCATTTGCCAAGATGTCTTTCTATATGACGTTACCTAGTGATAGCTCTCAACGTTATTTTCCAGAAAATACTATCTCTCATTTCATTACTCAATTGCCTGTACCCATATCTTTGAACGGGGAATGGGAAGTTGGTCTTTCTGAGATCATTTACCCGCACACCTGGTACAATATTAACAAAGATAATAACAATCTCTTTGGCTTTGATTTGGGTGACTCTTCAGGTGTAAGGGAAGTTGCCAATAGAAAAATACCACCAGGATGTTACGAAAGTGTCCCAGATCTCTTAAAAAGCCATGACTTTAGCATCATTTAAAGATAAAATCTCTTTACAGTATGATCGTTCAACAAAAAGAGTGAAAATTGTGACGCAAAATGGAGCTCGGTTAATCTTTTATGATTCGGGATTGGCAAGTTTATTAGGCTTCGAACCGCAGATTGTCGAAGGTACTTGGAATAGTCCATATGTGGGTGATTTGCATTCTGCTTATACATTACTTTATGTGTATAGTGATATCGTTTCGCCTCAGATTGTTGGTAATGTGCAAGCTCCCCTCTTAAGAGTCGTGACAGTTACCGGAAAAGATGGTGATACCGTAAATGTACAATACGACAGACCGCATTATGTACCAGTAGCAAGAAATTCATTTAATACAATCGAAGTGGAAATCCGACTCAATTCGGGTACATTCGTTCCTTTTGAGAGGGGTAAGTTAATTCTTGTGCTTCATTTCCGAAGGCGACAAATCCTATAAATATGACAACAGAAGAGGAAAAGTTTTATTTGTAAAAAAGACATCAAGATGCTCGTACCATACGAATGTTGTACTCAAAATTATGAAAATCATTATCAAACCGGCTCGGGACTTTCTTATTATCAAGGTCAACCCTATCAAAAGGGCTATGGTCTCGGGGATTTTTTCGCAGTCTATTTCGCTCTGCTATGCCTTTGTTTGTGAAAGGAGCCAAAACGGTGGGGAAAGAAGCTTTGCGCACCGGAGCTCTCATCGCAAATGATGTGTTGGCAGGTGAAAACATTAAGTCTGCTGCTAAACAAAGAGCCAAAGAGGCGGGAAAAGTATTAGCGGCAAAAGCTATTCGTAAAGCCCAGACCATGGTTGGTAGTGGCAAGTATAAAAGGAAGCGAAAACAGTCAAAACACTTCATTTCTCCGAAAGCTGTGAAGCAGAGAAGACGTGATATTTTCGATTCATAATGGCTTTTATCATGAAAGATTCCCCTGAATGTGTTAAATCCGAATTAGAACTTTTTCATTTACCTGGAACTCAAACGGCGATTCAGAGCGGCCAATGGGTTCAGTTTCATCCTCTATCTAATGTATTTGACGGAGGTCCCGTAGAATTTCATATTTCAGGCAGTGGAGAAGATTATATTGACTTGTCACAAACACAACTCTACGTGAGAGCAAAAATAATAAAAACGGATGGTTCACCTCTGGATAAAGATGCTAGCATCGGCCCAGTAAATTTGTTCCTGCATTCTTTATTTTCTCAGGTGGATGTCACATTAAACGAACGACTGGTGTCTTCTTCTAGTAACACATATCCCTATAGAGCTTATATCGAAACTTTGCTCAATCACGGCCATGATAGTAAAACTTCAAAATTGACAGCTGAAATGTATGACAAAGAACTAGAGAAGCGATCTTCCTTTTTTAAACTGAGGTCTACTGTTGATATGATTGGTGGCATTCATTTTGATTTATTTCATCAAGAAAGGCTTTTATTAAATATGGTGGATGTTAAATTAACTCTCATAAGAAGCAAGCCGGAGTTTTGTTTGCAAGGAAAAGCAGGTCATAAAGTGGTTTTAGAACATGTATCTCTTTTCGTGAGAAAAGTGCGTGTGAGCCCTGGAGTTATCCTAGGTCATGCCAAAGCGTTAGAGAAGAGTAATGCCAAGTATCCTATTAATAGAGTATTATGTAAAGTCTATTCCATTCCCCAAAATAGCATGTCCTTGATACAAGACAACGTTTTTGTTGGCCAGATGCCTCAAAGAATTGTAATGGGATGTGTTGATAATGACGCTTTTCATGGAAATTTTGCCAAGTCACCATTTGAGTTTAAACATTATCACCTGAATTTCATTGGAGTGTACGTCGACGGACAGCCTGTGCCTTACAATCCACTGGAACCAAATTTTGATAACAACAATTATATTCGAGCTTATCATAGCCTGTTTTTCAATAAATCCCAGCAAGATAAAGGCATTTTTATATCCAGAGAAGACTATTTACAAGGTAATGTGTTATTTGGTTTTGAATTATCGCCAGACCTTTGTGATGGGGAGCATATGAATCTCATTAAGCATTCTAATCTACGGATTGAGTTAAAGTTCAGCCAACCTCTCGAGCAAACCGTGTGTGTGATTATCTTTGCAGAATTTGATAACGTGATTGAAATTAATAAATCGAGGAACATCATTTTTGACTTTAACTGATGGATGGTCGTATTATACAAGACATTTTATCTCGTGAAGCAGCAGCTGTCTTTCGAGGAGTTTATCCAGCAGATAAAATACCTCCCTTAATTAGAAGATCAGCCATCGTTGTGAATACAGACAAGTCCACAGAACCCGGAGCGCATTGGGTAGCCTTTTTTCAAGATGAAGAATTAGAATTTTTTGATTCTTATGGACAATCTCCAGATGTTTATGGATTTCCACTGTTCAAATGTAAAATGGAATAATATTCCATTACAGAGTGTAACTTCTAATGTATGTGGAGCATACTGTATTTATTATGTACTGAAACGAAGCCAAGGCCAATCTATGTACGCCATTATTGAAAATTTATGTAAAATGAGTGATTTTAACCTGTATCAATTTGTGAAAAAAAACTTATGGTGTAAGAATGATTTTTAAACAATGAAATATTTGAAATGTATTTTTTTCTCTGTTTTATTTTTTCTGACTGAATAAATTTTTTCAACTTATATAAAAGCATATTGAGTTTTAAATAATGAAAAAACCTTTTCATATGAAGAAAAACACAAATATCACTTTTCGACCTAAAAAAATTAAAGTGAAATTTTTTCGACCTAAAAATATCTAAATGAAATTTTTTCGACTTTTCAAAATCAAAGTGTAAATTTTTCCCCTTACATTTTGAAATTAACATGAGTTTTCCCATAGAAAAAATAAAAGTTGAGATTTTTCTCCCTAAAAAAATTAAAGTGAAATTTTTTCGACCTAAAAATATTCTAAATGAAATTTTTTTCGACTTTTCAAAATCAAAGTGTAAATTTTTTCCCCTTCAACATTTGAAATTTAACATGAGTTTTCCATAGAAAAAATAAAAGTTGAGATACAAAGCTGCTTTTTCACTTTCATCAAGGTCTTTTTTCTTTAAAATTCGATCCATTTTCTCATCCAGTTCGGTAAGATGTTCCACCGTTTGTCGTCTTTCTTCTGGTACGATGAGAAGTTTTTTTACTGAACTCCATGAATAAGAGAACTAATGACAGAAATAGCCGCAGGTAAGAGAACACTTAGAAAACCTTCCCCTTTTTGTACAAGCAGTCTTCTTTTCTTATAAAGAGGTACTTTTTTTATTGGCGAGTTTTCGTAAACTTCGTTTATAAGGCGCTAATTGAGCCTTTCGCTTGGGGAGGAAAACGGCAAGATGACCTCGAAGCAAGTTTAAGGCACACTCACACACAGTTTTTTATGACACTATTGGGGCACTTGCGAAGCAAATCACTTGAAAATTTACTTTTCGAGATGAGTTTCAGTTGCTCTAATTGGTGCTGCGAACAGTTCGACATTTTTATACACGAATGACAGGAAAGAAAAAAGTGTTGGGCTTTTATAGAGTCTCTACGAAGCGTGCATAAGCGGCGGCTTTTTGAACAGCACAGTGTGAAAAGTTCTTCACATGCAAATAAGGGCAGACTATTTCTCCTGGAAGGTAAGTCACAAAAACGGGGACAGTTTTACATCATCCAAATTAATCACTTCTTTTCTGGTATGATTGTGAAAATATTTTTTTTCCATACCTTTGCCATATATTTTTTAAATGAACGAAACAGCATCTGAAGGACTAAATTTAAATCTGTATATGACATTTCTCCATATGTCCAGTCCATATTATGTATATTCCGAGATACCCACGAAAACGTGAGTTGTGTTTTCTTGCTGAAATCTTCAAAGGAACAGGGGGGTTGAAAAGTCCATCTGCCACGATACGTTGGGTCCCCTACGGCAAAAGCTGCAAGTTCTTTAATAAAAAACTGTCCTGAAGAATGTTGGAAGCCTTCAAAGTCGATCACCACAGACATCTTCACTCGTTGACAGCTCACCAGCAAATGACTAGCGAGGTTGATAGATGTAGTATTTATCGTTTGGAAAAAGCCCCGTTCTCAGACGCATGGAGTCAGATGTTTCAGGTTTGAGATCAACCAGTAAATAACTGTAAGGTTTAGATGTAGCATCCTGATACACTTCTTGAAAAAACTTGTTCTTTCCTGGATATAACTGCCTTCCCAGATGCATAATTTGAGACTTGTCTCTTGTATTTTTAAAGAGCACTAAATAATTAGCATTCAAAGACATTTCCCGAATACCTTTATGAAACAAATTTTGTACAATGAAAATAACACTAAGATTTCGATGATGAGATCCTTTGGTAAATAACTTAGTCAATCTTATATCATTTCCGAGTTCCGACATAAGATCATCAATAATAATCACAGAATTTGATAAAGTGTGGATGTTTTCAGGCAAACCATCACAAAATTCAATATGATTCATCTCATCGTAAAGACTTTGATAAGCACCATAGCACCAAATAATTTTAGGAGGAAAAGGAGTGATCATTTGGTGGTCCATTAATTTTTTAATAAACATGGTTTTTCCGCTACCACTAGGACCAGCAGCTAACATCGTGAAAGGATGCTTTAATTTCAACAGTTCCATCTTAACTAAATTCTTATTCGAAAAACAATTCTATTTATAGCTGTTCCACTAGATTTTTAATTTTTCTAACTTTCCATTTTTTGATAAAACTAAAATTAATTTTTCTAACTTGCCAGATTAATTATTGTAACTTGATTAAATATTCTAACGTGTTAACATTTTTTTAAAAAGATTCAGAGAACCCTCTCTTTACTGAAGACTTGGTTTTTAAAGTACAAAACAAGAAATAATATATTTAAATAAACATTTATTAAAGTTTGAAGACACATCATTACACTTATTTACATCATAAATTTCCACAATAAAATACTTTTAGAATTTTGATTCAATGTACAGAGAATTTTGAGACAAAATTATTCAAACTAAAAATTATATGGCATAATGTCCGTATGCATAGGACGATATCCCATCGTCCAAAATGTACCGTTTTGTATCGAAAGGACACAAAGTAGCTTTCGTGTAAGCCACAGTCTTTATCTGATGACTGTGGCTAGCAATACGTTGCACATGCGCAAGGCCGCGTTGTTGTTGTAAAAGACAGTTAACGTAGTCCCCATGACGAATCTGTCTTTTAAGGATGGTTTTCGATACGCCCTTAGCAGTTTTTTTCTCAGTAGAGTTACTCAGTAGGCTGTACATTTTTGGCTTGAGTCCAACAAATTCTTGGGCAATTTGTCCAGATAGTTCATCTTTCATTTTACCAATCGTCTTTTTATTGGTAAGGCTGTAGAGGGGATGATTTTCTGGGTAATCTGAGGTATCGAATAAGTTCAGATTGTTGCTCATGTCTTGAAAAATATCATCAGTTTCTATTTCGTAACACAGACTGTCGGTGTCTGTGAATAATAAACGGGCCTTTGATGCATATGTTTTCTTGATATATCCATAATGAAATTGATACATCAACGTTTTTGATAAATCCAAGATGCTGAAGCCTACATAGATAGGACGATTCAGAACCAAGCTGGTTTTCCGTCGCTCAATGGCTGCCAGATCGTCGGTGATGATCTTGAAGGAATGAAATGTTGGAGCAGCGACTAACTTCTTGGCTTGTTTATCTCGATGAACCAGATCAATGCAGGTACGTTTTCTGAGATTTTCCATCGTCTTTCCGAAAACTGAATTGTTTAAGAGTTTAAACAAATCTTTTTCGAATGAAGATTTAGCCAGTTTACGTTGCCTAGTGTTGAATTCAATGTATGTTGCAAGCCAAGGAGATTGTTTGAACTTTAGCACTCGATGGATCTTGGTCACGTGAAGCCCCAGTGAAACATATTGCTTCAGATTTCGGTAATGTATCACGTACCGATGCTTAGGTTGCAGATTTGGCACCAATTTGATAGAACTGCTCGGTGGGATTTGGAATTTAGTTGCCAGGTCTCGCGTGTAAGGTGACCACATATCAGGAGTCACGACTACTTGTTCGGGAGCAAGAGGATAGTCCGAATGATCATCGTGAAGTTCCCTTGGATACTCCAGATCAACTTCAAGGATACATCCTTCTTCCGCATCGTCAGCCATCTCCATGAAGTTAAGAGGTCCGTCATGCCACTTGAAGTCATGGGTTGGTAAAGCTTGACTCATGGCCCATCTAAAAAGATAGAATAAAAATAATGAATATCACAAGTAAATAATAGAGAAAAAATATTATATCTAAACATTTGGAAAGGATACTTACCCGTAAAGGTTATTGGCATCCAAATACATAATATAAGATGATGACTTCGTTGGGTCATAATTTTCCATATATTTATTATTGGCTGGGCTGAAGCGATGAGAAATCATAGCGATGCCACCTCGAATGCCCTTTTCTATAAAGAGATACATATCAGGATCGGTGAGTAACTCCAGTTGGACGTCGGTCATGCGTAGAGCAGCTTGCCAGGCCAGACCAGGTGCTGTGTAAACATGTGCCGGATCCAGTTTGTAAAAATCAAGACATAGTCGTCTGAAGTTTTGAAAAATATCCGCCAGAAGCAAAACATCACTTTTTACATAGAGGTCGTGGTAGTCTCCTAGATGACGTAATCCGAAATCTTCCCAGACTCTGTTCGCATGTTGGTAATCCTCATCGTTGATATCACTCTCTGTTAAATGGCTGTAGAAGGCAGAGAAGAGAGAGGTGGAAGTTGCGGCTCATCAAATCGCTCAAACGAATCTAAGTACTCATAAGGGTAGACACCTGGAAAAATTTTTTAAATATCGAGATTAAAAAAAACCTGTATAAAAAAGTAATAATACATTATCATATATAAAAAGTTATAGAAATTCTGATTACCTTTTCGAAGCATCAGATCTGTTTTTTCCCGAAAATAGGTTCTTGTCAGTTGAAATTGTTGGGATTCCAAATTAGCCGCGAGCTTTTCTAAAGAAGCATTCAGAAATTGTAGAGAATCGATGAAGCGTAGACGACCCAAAGAAACAGAGATGAATTTTTCTGAATTCTGCGGAATACACTTAATCTCTTCGTCCTTGAATTTTCCCACCGCTTGCATCAGGAGGTGAGAATCATATCCCTTCAGATTATGAAAGACCACGGGTAGAAAATTTGCAAATTTGAAATTGATGTTGCATCCATTATGAGCTGCTCCTCTGTAGACTCCTGAAAGATGGCAATGGTCCCGCACCTAAAAAATGAAAAATTTGTTTTAAAAACACATTATTATAAAGCATATTACTGAATGAAGTTATAATATTCGACTAATACTTACCTTATCTCCATTCAATGGCTTCTCACAGATATGACATTCAGAGGCAGATTCGTAACCCATTGATTTTCTTGGGTGAAAATCATAGGCTCTACAGTTTTCAAAATTTCAAAGATGCCCCTTTCTTCTTCCAATAAAGATGCTAGAAAGTGGTTGACAGCGTCTTTCCCTCTATATACTTGAGGTTCCCGATAAAATGAACCGTCTTGTCCCACGATCACGTAACTGTATCCACAAGGAAGATGGTTGGCTACAGAGGTGGTTGATGACTTCGAAGGATCCGGTAGGCAGGTAGCTTGCTTTACTAAAATGGATTCAAAGTCGGCATAAACTATATATGGAATGGGTAGTTGAAACTGGTGCTTGTCGAATTTTAACCATTTATTTTCCGGCATTTTAATTTTTTGTGATCCATGCACTCGACAGTCTTCTACATGCCCGTCGAGAGTCTCCTTCTTTGTGAATCGGTGAAGGCAATAGTCACAATAAAATGTTCCACACTTATGTTTGGTGAGTCCGGCAAGAAGACGAGATATGTTCTTGATAAGACAATAATGTCTCTTTTCCTCATCAGAAATGAGCAACAGATTGATATGACGATCACCTACAAAAGAGAAAAATACCATTTCATAAAATAATTTTCAAACTTAAAAGCATGTCTATTAAAGTTTACAAAATAGAGATAAATTACCGTTTCGACTCCTGGTGATCCGAAGAGGTAAAATCTCATTGTTTTCCCAACCGAACACGTTTATCGACAGGTTGTTCATTTTCTCGAACTTGTCCAGCTGGTGAATGGGGGTGGGAAAAGACAACCCGTCCGCATTGATTTCGTTTTCATAGGGCTTATAGTGAGATACTCGATATGCATGTTCTCGATGATCTTTGATGGGGTGAAGAGCTGCTAACACACTCCAGACGAGACATTTGTGGTCCTCATTCTGGATATTGAGAACTGCCATTTTACTGGCTAAGGCTTTCGGTAGGGTATGTAGGAAGAGGCCGCCAGGGGTTTGTAGACAGCGATCTTGAGCTCCAGATATTGGACGGAGTCTAAAACCCATCCTGAACCTTTTTTCAGAAATTTGTCCAAGGAATCCAGCGCCTGTAAAACATTTCATGAGTATTACTAATTTTACACACATTTTAAAATAAATTAAAATTCACATAAAATTAACTTTCTTACCTTTTCAAAAGCTGCTTGCATATCGGGCATTTCTCCCGTGAGCGTAGTACAGCATCTGGATCGAAAGTAAGGGATGCATGTCTCCTCCTCGGTCTCTGACACTTTTCTGACCATCTTCACAGAAGCATTCAAGTACCATTTGATACCTTGATGCTGTGTGGCAGCTTCTCGAATCTTGCTAGCGATATCAGTTTTTGAAGACTCTAAAAATACTTGCAAATCTGTTTTGGTGTCTTCACTGGGATAAATGATTTCTGTAGCAAACGTACCAAGGCAGGGTGGGCGTTCTTGCCGTGGTCGTTTAGGGGCAGGCAGGGTGGCGGGGGAAGCTGCTCGTTTCACTGAGCGAGATGGCATGGATGTCTGGGGTTCTGAATGCGTTTTCATATGCCTCATTAAACTATCCTTTCGGGAAAACTCCTTTTTGCATATGGCGCAAATGTGTCTTGATATTGAATGCTGCACTTCAATATGTCTTGTCAAGCTTCTCTGGTGTGCAAAAGTTTTATTACACTCCGAGCAAGTTAAATTTGGGGTATCAGCGAAAGGCGAATCCAACTGTGATGATGTAAGATCACCAAAATCCATTATAGCAATCGTTTGATCATCCAAAGGCACGTCTTCATGTTCAAAAACATATTCAGGATCCATCTAAAAATATAAGAGGACAAAAATAAGTATTATAACTCAAAATTTCTCAAACATATCATATTTAAAAAAAGAAAGATACTTACGCTGCCTTGTGGTTGAGCAACCTCATGATTTAAAAACATAGTTCAGATGTATGCTCCATCTGGAAAAAAAAAAGTAGAGAAAGAATTCAATTGTTTATGAAATAAATAGGACTAAAAAAGTTAAAATATTAAAATAAACTTACTTATAATAGTAAAATAAAAACAAACTCATTTAAAAATATATTGTAGCGTTAAATAGAAAGAATGCAAAGGGCAAATCATCAGTTTAATAAATGCGATAATATTTACATGGAAACACGAAATAATGTTAATTTAACTAAGAAGATTTACGTTAGGAAAAAGAAAGCATACTAAAGATAATTTAAAGAATGCAATAATATTTCGCGTGAAAACCTAAGAGTACCGTTAAGTTAAAAAAATATTCAACAAAGAAAATTTACATTAGGTATCATATTTTCAATAAATGTAATCTATAAATAATAGGGAAAAAGCGCAGAATAAAATGAATATAAAAGAGGTATCGAAAATGAATGACTTATTAAAACAAAATGGGTTCAACTAAAATAATCACAGGGAAAAGTCTGTAAAGAAAAATAAAGTAGACATTATAAAAACTATGTATAATATCTAATAAAAATAAATATTAACATCGAGAGTATATGAATGCAAACATAATCTATGGTAAAACACTTACCTCGAATAACACGTCTTGATTCAAACAGGAAGAGCGAAAGCAGGAACAAAACATGCAACACAGGCGGAAATGATATGATAGGGTCCAGCGTCTCTCTATATAGGCCTTGGTCAGGATCCATGAGAACCAATCAGAAAGCGCTATGGATACGACTACTGCCCTCTAGCGGTCGTTGCTGAACTAAAAAGAATGCGCTAGAAATTCTAACATGCTACAATCAGGTTGCGGATTTAGTATGACATCAAAGCAGCGGGGAGTTCTATGTCAATCGATAAACGTGTACATGAAACCGGATTACTACACAAAAAGGATGAGACATGTGTCTGACGTAAAAATAGCAAGATAATACGAAGTGATAATGCGTGATGACGTCACAAACAGGATGCAGCACGTCCGGGGTTAAGCCGCGTGGTTGATGACGTATCAACCCACACGGGCTCCTCCGTAAATTTCCTCTCCCCCCGTCCGTCGTCTGTGAGCGCCACAGCGCCACATGGCTCCAAACCCCCATATTCTATCTACTGATGTCAGAGTTTTGAAAACCTGGCTAACTACTTATGGTTACCTACGTAAGATAAAGGATACCTTGATGAAGAACTTAAAATAAATATTATTATCGACAATAGAAAAGTAATGACAATTGGACAAATAGTCATAATAGGCACTGTTAACTGGAAGCCAATCGCCAAATGTGCGCCAATGTACCAAATGTGGAAATGTTTATATCCCATCATGGTTTGGTTTATGTGATTACGGCAAAGCCTCGAGGGCTATCTGCCTAAGGTCAGGGATGCACTCGTGGGGGGCATTCTAAGAGAAACTGGCTCGTTTACGCGTTACGCATGGGGAAAATTACTAAAACGCTGATACAGCCATCCCGTACGCGGGAATTGAATATCGCGTCACGTTATAACTGTATAATGTGCGCGATACTGAATCACTTAAAAACATCACAGAAATGCAGAAATTCGGCATACCACATACTAAACATTATATATATTATACGACACATTACTGTTATTACAAGTTAAAACTTTTTTATGAAGCTATACGTATCATTGGGGGTTGCCTAATCGTAAAATCTGTCAATGTCCATGTTTGGCGGTAAGTGTAACCATTTTAACTAAAACTGTTTGATGATGATTCTAAGAATAATTTGGCGCGAGCAGTATAGGATTTAAGAACTTTGCACATGATTTAGCATATAATTATCAGTGGCAGTCAAAAATCCCAGTTGTCGAAACCTAACTTAAAATTATTCTTTTGCAAAAAGTTAAAACATACTTTTTTAAAAAATGTAACAAGCGAAGATCTTAGGTTCATCAGTGCTGAGAAAGACAGCTTTGTTCTTTGCTTAATCAGTGTTGAGAAGGGCTTAGCAGTTTGCAACTTAGTCAAAGAGTTTGATAACAATGCTGAGAAAACTCCATGAGCGCTGTTTTGCTTTCTGTGTTAGGAGGTCAAATAAATAATATTTTGGGAATTAGTATTGTCCACACTAAAAATAAGTCAGAATGGACAACTCCCCAGTTAACGTTGCTTATGCGATGAAAAGAAAGCTGGGTCTTTGACCCAGTTGGAAGTTGGCAAAGAAGGTTTTGTTTTGTTGCCTTACTAAAGTGGCCGAATTAAATGTCGTGACTTTGAAATCCTTTCTCACTTATCTGTGATTCGTATTTCGCTTCATATCGGCTACGGTACGTTGACCTTGATACAAAATCAGTTTCGTATTCGTATCTTTCCATTTAGCTATCAAACACTACGGGAAAAAGATGCTTACTACATTTCTTGTTGTTGCCTTAAAAAGAAAAACCTCAGGATTCTAATATTTCAGAAATAAAACGCAAAAACATTACATTTGCCTCAAAACGAATTCTAACACATAAACATGATGATATATTTTCATGGATTTTTATGTGTACAGTTAATGTATGCTTTTTTCTAAACATCTCATGCCGATTCTTTAACGGATCGAATAATCGAACGCATGAAACTCGCTACGGTATGAATTGCATGGAAATGAGAATGGGATAATTAGATGATAAATCCAATTTTAAATTTATATGTAAATTTTGAAACTTGGCGATAAGATTAAACGAAGTTAAATAATAAATAAATAATATTAAATGAAGATTAAACGACAGTGAATCAGTTGTTTTATTTTACAACGTAAATGAAACTGCGCAACAATGAGCAGTTTATGAAAAAAATCAACTCTTATAATTAATTAAAAATTTCACTATACAATAGAAATTAATAAACTAATCTGCTGAGTGCGTCTACGACACACATTTTTATCTTCACCTTTTCTAATATAAGACGAATTGAAATTAGCAAATGCCCTCCCACTCCACAATGGCGAGATCAAGCCGTCTATAGACGTTGGGCACTAGTAAGGCCGGAAGCGGTGGTCACTTTATTATGGAGGCACTTAAAAGGTGGACCGCAGTAGCCTCTTATGAAGAGACCGACAAAGTACACCCATGCCTTCTCCGGGATTCGAACCCGGGCCCTTCGGTACGGCATTCACTTACCATTTTCCTGTCTAGGCGGCATTAGTAAACGCTTAAAGTTAAAATTTAAATACAAGTTGTTTATCACTTATCAGTGGGCTTATTTCGTTATATAATGTAGGTAAAATTTAGTGCGGCTCGTAATCTTTTGTAGCAGAACTATGCTCCAGAAAGAAAAACCTTTGAATTTTAACCGCTTATACCCAGAATTTGATCAAATTGGTTGAACGCTTTTTATCTTTTATTGAAGTGTATGTGAGTATTTCTGTCACGGATAATGTTCAGCTGTCTGTTTATGCAAGCTTAATCAGACTAGGAATTCAGAATAATATTAGGTACTTTTTTTTAAGATCCGCTGTATACATGATCCTTTCATCATTTTCTGTTTTCAGTATGGGGTGTAGTTAAATAACAGTGTTTCATAGAAATTTCGGCAGTTCAATATCTGCTGTGATTTTTCCATTCACACAATTGAACTTGTTTACAGACAATTTTTAATTTGAAAGTCACGGACAGAAAAATAAATGCAGTGATTGAAAATCGTAACAACTTAATACGTACTCAACTGACAGAACGTCAATTTCCTTTCATTATTTGTTGTAACTCATTTTTGTCCTTATTTTTGATATGAATCAATTATAAATCGTACGCTAACGGGGTGTTTAAATTAAACAGATTGTGAAGTACACGAAGAGGATTTCATTATTCTTTCTGTGAAGTATTTTGAATTCGTTTGCATTAGAAATTATTATTTTAGTCACTTCAAATGAACATATCTGTGCGAATTTTTCACTTAAAGGTATGGAACTTGTTTTGATTGTTAACTCATTAAAGCTCATATTTTACTTATTAGAATTTTTGATCTACAGAAATTATATAAAAATGTAGATTTTGTTTTTATACAATCTTTCTACCTTAGTATTGAAACTACTTTCATAAAATGGTCTACCTTAAGAAACTTTGTAACTAGAAGCATAAGGTCTCTAGGAACAGTAGTTACAGAAAAAAAGCTTTAGCAAGCTTAATACTCTACATCCTGTTACATTCAGAACTTCATCAAAAAGAATTTGTCGGTTTTGTTTCTATTTATATTTAGCTGCGTTTCGATAATGTAATTTTTTTTCAGAATCAAATTTTTTAGTCTTATGTCTCAAATTCAAATTGCGTCATTTATAATTACCTAAATTTTGCTTATTTTCATGTAGCAGTAGGGGGGGGGATATTTTCAGTGTGAGGGCTCTGATAGTGAATATGAAGAATTTTACTTATTTGCAAATCATACTCAGATTATCTGCATATTTGCTTTCCAATTTTCAGAATTCCTAACATAATGGGAGATTCTTCAGCAATCTAATGATGTGGATAGAATGCTGATCATATTTACCGTACCCTTGCGATCATTTAATTAATCGAAGTATAGCGGAATTACTATTCAATAACTATTGTACAGGAAAACTGAAGGACTATTACAGCTTAAATTATAGAGACTATTTAGATTTTTCGAAACAGGAAATGTGAAAAATCCATTATGCTATTCCATGATTCGAATCACGGATCTTCCATTTCGCTAATTCAACGTGATAACTGTTTACACTACGACAGCACAGATGGGGAATATATTTCCTTTTATTTCTCCCCCATGGACCATATTCAGGTGGTGATGGTTTATTGTCCACCATATTTTAATTCGAGCACTACTGTACAGACTTTTAAAATTTTCGGTGCGGAAGACGGGAAAAATCGTCTTTAAACGTTATTTTACCATTAAAAGTATTTTGTCATTAAAATCCTTTACTTGTGGACTTCAATAAAAATAATAATTGCTGAGACTGTTAGTCTCTTTTGGTGAAGGAAGCATGAAAAATCAGCTG